TTTACCGCGTGTCATATTTTATAAACTCCAGCCATAAATGGATATGGCGAGGTCAGTAATGATCTTATTTTTCCACATTTGTGTGCATGACAGCTCTGTGTGAGACCCCAAATGTCTGGGATCAAGCTGAGAGGGGACGCTTATTTGTTTCTTTTTGCAAAGAAAAGTGCTATCGTTGAGGAAAAGAGAGGGAGGTAAGAGAAAAATCCACACCTCTCATTACCTCTCCCCTCTTGTTCTTCTCTTTATCAGACAGAATGCATAGCCAGTGTTGCTGTGCTGATAATCAACTTGTAAAAGCTTGTAATTTTAGTATCTAATTTCGGATCCCTCAAGAGCTTTAAATCAAGTGCATGAAAGCTGAGACGTACAAAATGATTTATGAGGATGATTATTCCTCTTAATCATGAGTGATTGAGGGAGATTAATAGTGTGACCTGCTGCCCACTTTCAGCTGCCTCTCTAGAGTTGATTAACTTAATAGCAGGCCTAGATTGCCAAACTATGTTGTACTCTCATAAGTAACACGTCCATATTCAACTTTCATAAGGTTTCAGGCTTGATAAAAGCACAAACATTGTTAGTAGTCTGGGAGTGCCTGCAGGATTTCATCTCGGGGTACACATTGAAACCAGACCATGCCCCTAATTCAATAAGTCTCAGATCATTTGGCTTTTTTATTGTGACATGACACAAGGTCACGAAAAATGTCATATGATACCACCACTCAAAACTTCATTGAAAGGAAGATATTTGTTAAGATATATATTAAAAATACACTACTGTTCAAATGATTGGGATCAGTAATCATTTTTTATTGTTTTTGAAAGAAGTCTCTTATGCTTACCAAGGCTGCATTTATTTTGCATAATATTGTGAATTTTTATTACAATTTTAAAAATCTGTTTTCTATTTTAATATATATATATTAAATATATTTTTCCCAACTATATATTTATCACGCCCCTGGACTCTATCTGTGTGTTTTTCCCTCTCCACGTGCTCCATGACCCAGTTTTCCCTCATGTTGATTGTTCATTAGTTCCAGGTGTGTCTCGTCATCCCCTCGTCAAGTCCTGTGTATTTATAGTGAGTCCTGTTCTGAGTTTGGTTGTCTGGTATTGAATGTTCATCTTTCCCCGCTTACATGTATGTTCCCGGTTCCACTGATGGTAATTAAAGTCTGTTTGTTTGAAGTCTACTCAACGTCTCCTCGTTCCTCGCTCCGTGCTCCTCACAGTAGCGAATTGTGACAGAATACCAGTTACCTCCGTGTGTTCCCTCCGTTTTTGTTTCCGTTTTTTACTCAGTGTTTTGTTGCTGTAGTGTTCCCTTATGGATCCCCTCGCCCGCCCTGAATACCTCCTCCTCCTGCTGGAGCAGGGGGAAAGATCGCTCGAGGGCCACACCAGACTGTTCCTGGTCCTCACTAACCTCTCCAGCTACCCGGCATACAGAGCGCCGTCGTCCGAAGAAGGCCCTCGAGCGAATTTCGCCGCATTGAAAGATCGCTCGAGGGCCACACCAGACTGTTCCTGGTCCTCGCCAACTTCTCCAGTTACCCGGATGACGCGCTCTGTGCGTTCTATGACGGCAGTTTAAACCCGGCATACAGAGCGCCGTCGTCCTAAGAAGGCCCTCGAGCAAATTTCGCCTCATTTGCTGGCGAGACACGGATCCCTGTTCACCGTCTGTCCCGAGGGGGATCTCACCAGTGCCACTCCGGACCCAGTGCCCAGCTAACCATCTCCCCGCAGCGTAGAGCGCATGCCTGAGCCCACCACTGACGGAGAGCCCGAGCTTGCCGCGAGCCGGAGCTGCAAGTGACATCAGTCAAGGTGCGAGAGCCGGCAACAGAGCCTGCCACGAGGGAGAATGCCGTGGACAGAGAGAGCACGGAGTGGAGCGCTGCCCCCTGCACCGTGGCTGAGGGTGAGCTGATTATACATCTGGGACTGCTAGACTTCGAGGGGGACCTTATTAGGGGTCAACCGATATGTGTTTTTCAGGGCCGATGCCGATACCGATTATATAACCGATATTTTGAACCGATATATATGTCTGGTGTAAAAATGAAAATTAATGTCAAAATTAAGAATAACAAGGGCTCTGACAAAAACTGCCTTCCCTGGTGTTGGTTGTGTAGTACTCCCACACTGCACTTCTTACTCTGGTCTTGTCTTCCTCTGTGCATCCATCTACAATAAGGGTAATATAAAGAGAGAGTTAAAAGTGGGGCCACTGTATGCTTCACGATTAAGCCAATGAATACTGTACTACAGCTAAACAGCTTGGGGAAATGTATGTGTAATAGCATAACCTCTCATAATTCCTCATTAATTATTTTCTGATGGCTAAAACATAACCTACAATAGTAGAGGTGACTATTCAATTCATCATCTAATGCACATCAATGGATTAACTTTTTTTTAAATTTATATAATAAGTGTAAATTTAATTGTCTTCATAGCTATATTGTAGAAGTTGTTAAGAAGACTGCAACTATTTTCATGAAACTATAACACTAATAGCCTTTTACAGGCACACTTAGTTCAATAGCCTATTGAAATGTCTTGGCCTATGTAACACTAGAAATTTCAGTTAGTTTTAATTTACAGTACAGTGCCACAAATATATTTTCCAAAAGGCTTTGACTTCGTTGAATAAACATGAGCACTGCACGTTTCAAAATTGAAACCATGTGCGGGTGTTTTTATATCACTGTATTTCTGAAGGAAACCGACTGTCTTCAGAAAATGTTGGATGTCCTCCTCCACCACTGTCGTCTGGCAGCCCCTCTGCTCGCCCTCAGCCCACCATCAGCACGGTGTGAGCTCCGCGGGACTGCCATCCTCCAGCATCGCCGGGGCTGGAGTATTCCTTGACACCGCCTCCAGCCTCTAAGCCCAGAACTCCGCCTCGGCCCGTGGACCCGTCGGCTCCACCATGGCTCCTAGCTCCCTCCTCTCCGCCGTGGCCCGGCAGTCCACTAGCTC